GATCAGAGAACGGTATAAGAACGTATAGATCTCGCCCTAGACGGTCTGAGAACGGTATAAGAATGTATAGATCTTAAATGTATAGATGGTCTGAGAACAGTATAAGAACGTATAGATCTCGCCCTAGACGGTCTGAGAACAGTATAAGAACGTATAGATCTCGCCCTAGACGGTCTGAGAACAGTATAAGAACATATATAGATCTCGCCCTATGTCCCCGCGGCTCCTTGTGGCGTCATCCAAGGGCATGCTACTCCCTTACTTATCTTGTCCCCTCAGTAAAGATAAGAGTCATGTCCTTCTTGTATGAGTGAGTGTGTGTGTGTGTGTGTGTGTGTGTGTGTGTGTGTGTGTGTGAGTGTGTGTGTGTGTGTGTGTATGAGTGTGTGTGTTTCTCACCTGCCTCTATCTCCCCCCCCCCAGCGCCATAGACCCGTGCTGGACCGGCGAGCCGTGGCCTACCTTGACCTGACCCACCTGGTGAGAGGTGATCGCACGATGACCGCTCAGGTCCCGCCCAGTCTCTACAAGCTGGTCAAAGAGGCGACGTTTGAGGTAAACATGACACAACTCGACACAACACGACACAACACATGACACACTTGGTCAAAGAGGCGACGTTTGAGGTGAACACACCTCTTCCTTCCTTCTGTCCTGCCCCAAACAGACATTCACAACACACACAGAACACAACACACACAGAACACAACACACACAGAACACAACACACACAGAACACAACACACACAGAACACAACACACACACAACACAACACACACACAACACAACACACACACAACACAACACACACACAACACAACACACACACATAACACACACACACACAACACAACACACACACAACACAACACACACAGAACACAACACACACACAACACAACACAACACACACACAACACAACACACACAGAACACAACACACACATAACGCACACACACACAACACAACACAACACACACAGAACACAACACACACATAACACACACACACACAGAACACAACACACACACAACACAACACACACATAACACACACACACACAGAACACAACACACACAGAACACAACACACACACACACACACACAACACAACACACACATAACACACACACCACGACTTACAACTTACTGAAATTATCAGGCCCCCTCAGTGGGCCCGTAGTCTGAAAATGTGGAGGCGAGTTGAAAACGAGGTCACTGCAGTAGCCTACGCTAGATAATAGGACGGAAGCGTAATCAGATCACCGAAGGGGAAATCAAATAAGACTGTGCCATGCTTATTATACAACTACAAATAGTATCTTAATTGGATTTAGGATAACTAGATTTCTAGATCTAGACTCTAGTTCTTGTCTCATTTCTCGTTCTAGGTGCGGTAAAAGAGCTTCACTTCCCATTGGCAAAGGGCACAGAAAATAATGAGAGAAAGAAGAAGAATAAAGATAGCACTTTAGAGCACATATATCCACGGAAAACACAATCCATGCTCTATGGGCTAAAAAAATATACTCATTCATTAAGCAAGCATGGAATAATTTATAGGCCTAACAGCAGAAACATTGCCAAGTATGGGAGACACACACCTACATGTAAGCATGTATACACACAGAGAGACATAGATAGACACATGCGTTCACAAACATAACAGTGTAAATATTATGAAAAAGGTTTAACTTACATGGTTTATGAAGACAGCTTCAGGACTTTCTGTTCAGGTTCTTTCTCAGACGGTGGATTGGATATCTTGCAGAAATTGTTTAACAAAATGTTGCTCATGACAAAGCAGTTGTGCTGTCTCATCTCAAAACCACAATACTGTGAGATGTCCATAAATATTTCACTCAGAGTTTCTGTATGATACCTTGTCACACACTGGCTCCTACAAAGGAACACAATGAATCAAAAGAAACAATGTCTTTTTGTGAATATTGTTCTAACTGGTCACTTTCAACTGATCTGACTGAATAACTAGCCTAGATCTAGATCTAGCTCTAAATCTAAATCTAGCTCTGCATGTTGTTCCTGCTAAGGGCACTGGTGTTGGAATTAAACTTTTGGGCAAATTAGAAAATAGCGATGGAGGGTTTTTTGGTCTTAATCTTCCTTTGACAGAAATAGCTTCAAATCCATCAGGAAAATGTTGAATACAAACAACAGTATTTGCAGTATCGGGTATATTGTCGCGTGGGATTGCTTTCATCCAACGTTCTCTCTCATCTTTATCTTTAGGTAGAAATCTAGATCTAGATTCTATATCTCTAAAAACACGGTAACCTTGTCAATAGAGTCATAATTTGACCTGCACCCAGTAACACAACAATTTCTGCCCATGTCCAACAAGTCTGTACAATGTACATTATTCCATTAGAGAGCACTGACATTGATAATCCAAATGAACTACTCTCGGCCTATCCTCCTGTCACACGTCTCACATCACAAGTCACAAGGCAAGGCGGCGGACATTTTGAAAACTTTGTTTACTTCCGTCGCTGTTCTTCTCACCTCCCTTGACCTATTAAATTTCAGAAATGTTTTTCAAGTTAAAAAACAAAACAATTGCAATTAAAATGAAAAACATTTTAAAAAATGGAAAAATGTAAAGTGCACATTGAAAGCTCATTGGTATTAAAGGAAGGATATTTCTTAATTTCTCCTAGGGAATTTGTTAAATGCTATTTATAGGAATGAGATGACAATCGGCTGGTTACTGACTTAGTTAAGTGTCGCCTCCACAATTTCAGACTACGGTCGCGCTGAGGAGGTGCTGATAGTTCCAGTTAGCCGTGACACACACACAGAACACAACACTACACTCATAACACAACACACATGTTAATAAAATAGGCTACACTACAACAACCCAAGTACTTATATTTTCTATACATGTAAACCCCCACCCCTCTCTCACACACACACACATTTTTTTTTCAAAAATAAATTTGTTTAAAAAAAAGCAGCAGTCATTTTCTGTTTACCTACGGTCAAGAACTCACTGCTACAATAGGAGAATTGTCCTATAAACGCAGCACAATAATGACAAGATCTAGATCTGTTGAGTAAGAGAAACTCATTCATACTCTGTTAGCACCGGTAGCCCTATAGATCTAGGGTCAGATGTTTGAGTTCATATACCAGCATAAAGAAGTAGATTGTACTGTATACAGTATCAACATCTTTCCATTTAGTGAAGAATACATCAAACTTTTGGCATTTTTTGCTGCTTTCACTTGACTCCTTCAACTTTGGTTCTGGTTTTGACATGCTGTAGATCTTGGTCAAATTAATCAAACTACAGTAACTTTGTGACATAAACGCTCAAGAAAAACTTCAAGACCCAAGAGTTACAATTCTTTTCCTGCAATTCTTCTCTCACTCCCCTCCTCCCTCCCTCCCTCCCTCCCCCCAGGTCCCAGACCCCAATAACGAGGAGCTGACGCTGCAGTCGTCATGGCAACAGCGACAGGAAGTGAGCAACGGGACATCGACGGAGGAGCTTCTGCCCTGGAGTTCGTATGGCGGGGATCGAACCGCCCATCCTTTGCTTCACGGGCTAGGTGTGCCCACCGTGAACCTGTACTACACAGACGTAAGGGAGAAATACACGTGTTGAGATCTGTACTACACAGACGTAAGGGAGAAATACACGCGTTGAGATCTGTACTACACAGATGTAAGGGAGAAATACACGCGTTGAGATCTGTACTACACAGATGCAATATGTCAGGAATACACATGTATATTGAAATTTGCAGTACACAGATGTGATATGTAAGAAAAGAATACACATATTGAGATGTGGGTCAAAGTGACGTATTGCAGGTCCTGTATGTTGAGTTGTGTTCAGAGCTCTTTATTTGACTTGATAACGCACAGAAGATGCGGGTACAGACTTACTAGTTTATTAGAACCATAGCAACGGATGTTATTGAACAATATGCCCAATGGGCCTAACTTTACACATACCAGGTTTCTCTAATGGGATAAGTTAGAGAGTTACTTATAGACTTAGAATGTTTGGTACAGAATTTGCACTACAGAGATCATGTACATCAACACTGTAGATGTGTAGAATTATCCATGGGTGGCTGGCGGGTGATCTGGTGCGGTTTGCTCCTTCTGTCCTATCAAACATCTATCGTCCTTATCTCTGCTCCGTTTTTTTTGTGTTTGTTACTCTCGTAATAACTGTAACAACACCTCTAATCTTCCTCACTGGTATAACCTTATTGCGTTGGAAGTGCCGTAAAAAACTTACAAAAATTAATATCCAAATAGGCCTATATATTTTTTTTCAATTTCTGATAATTTTACACATTTGTGACAACATGAGCTGATCACGTAAATCTCTATAGGATAAAGTTTAGATATATGTCAGTCCCCCC